ACAACCATGCTACAATATGCAGATTCAGGATTTTGTGATATGGCCTAATCTCACTGTAGTTAGGAGATATCTCAGAGTGGTTTCTCTTTTCGTTTCTCTGATGATTAGGGATGATAAGCATTTTTTCATGTGTTTGTTGGAAGAGTCCCCTATTTCTAATAGTCCATGTTAAAAATGCCTTTGTGCTTTAGTTGTTTCATAGGGACATCTTAAAATATATTAACATATATACAAATTTTAAAATCCTAAAGTACAGTGTCCTGATCAACAGATAGTAGGCTTCCACCTACTTATTGTGATACCCAGCCACCAGTAGGCATTCTAGGCATCTATCTGAAATGTAAAAATTTTATTGATGTGCTGAGGAAATATCTGAAACCCATGTCATAAAAGGAATGATTGAAGAAGCTACAGATAACTTTGCATAGAAAACAGAAGTCTAATGGAAGAAATAAAGGCAGGTAGCTTTTATGTCAACATATCTCACAATTAGAGATACTCAATTATGAGAGTGAGGCTCATGTATAGTTTTAACTCACCTGGATAACTATGTCACAGGAAGTTTCCTACAAAGTACGAGATTGAACTGTGACCTTCTTTAATCCTTAATTTTTCTTCTCCCTCTTCCTCTTTCCCTTCCTTTCCATCAAAGGATTATATTGTTTTAAATGCTGAATAAGAGTATTTGAGCCACAGATTATAGTACACAATATTTTTTGATCTTGGGCGAGTCATTCACCTTCTTGGGATTTACATTCTTCACATACAATTGATGGTATGGAGTCTTTACAGTCTATTTTAATTCTAATTTTCTCTAACCATACAAATGTGGACAGACTGGATCAAATTCTAATCTACTTGGGTGAGGAATCATTATAATTATAGACTTTTAGCATTTAGCATGAAAAGCATTTAGTTAATTTCCGCACCAGTTGTGAGACTATACATGTTACTGTTTCTACAATGAATTTCTAGTAAATCATTTTAACAAGTCTTTCTTTTAAATACTATGAAAGGTTTTTTTTTTCCACTGATCTTGAATGAACAAATGTAACTCTCTCAAGCAGAAATGCTCTGCGAACATCCTGCTGAGTTTTCTTCTTCTACCATACTGTCTGCACACACAATTAACCTTCCCTTAATTACATTAACTTGTCCTCTACCTGGGATTGTCAAATTAATACTGTAATCAAAGATCCCTATTGGAGACCTGAATGTGTCCCTGCTACATGTAATGTTAATTACTTCTTTACTAAAAGTAACTGAAATCAGGCTCACTTAAAGGGATGCCTTCAGTTAGAAGGTCTGGTTTGTGTCTCCAAAATGGTCCTATTTGGAACTTTATAAATAATTTTTTAAATCATCTAAAGAAAATTTAGTATTTCTGACCTTTCTAATTGAAGAAATTCTGAGATTTAATAAAATTCCACAAATTTACTCCTAGTTATGTGAAAACATTTATAGGCATTGGTATTGGTTTTTACATTTGAACATGATACTGAATAACATATAAGCAAATGTTTTTTATAACAAATGGCACTTGTCAAAATAAGCAAAGTGCTTGACTATAGAACCCACAGTATTATCATGTTCACCTCACCTATTTCCAAATTCAAACCTTTCAATAGTTTCTGGCTAGCATAAACTTAATCCAGTTGTGAAAAGCAACACTGACAATTACATGAAGAAGAAAGCTCCTTTAACCCAAGTGACTAGACTTGCTCAATGTCCCCATGGCAAACTGTTGTGAACATTTGACTGTAGAGCAGTGAATTCAGAATTAACAGTATTTTATATACTCCATAATCCTCTCAGTCAGCCACTGATTAAGCATTCCTGGTGTCAAGGCACTCCTTGAGACAATGTGGAAAACACAAAAATGAGTAAGAACACACAGACTTTCCTTTTAAAAAGATGATAATGATAGACTCTTAATGAGGAATAAGATAAAGGAAGCCTGATACTTTTGCCATCTAGATGTTTTTGATTCTCTAAGTTCAAAACAAGAAGGATCATCTCAAAACAGTTATGATTGAGATCACTAGAGTTCCATTTGGGTATTAATTGTATGCTACCACTACTTGTATGAATGGCAAACATATTTGGTTTTTCTCAGGTCTCTCATCCCATATGGAGATAACTCAAGTATAGATGGCAGCGGGTTGCTGTGAGGAGTAAATAAGATATATCTTATTTACTTTCTTCAGCAGGACTAATACGTACGTATTTTGTAATGTGTAAGAGTTGGGTGTCTGCATTCAGGACTGACATATAACATACATGAGCTACAAAGACAAAGAGGAATTTCTAATACATTGCCCTAAAACAACACCAGCTAATACCAGCTAGTGATCTAGTGATCTTAGGTAAATGGAGGAAATGGCAACTTGGGGAATACTGATTAAATAGAATGCCCTAAATAAAGTGTAATGGGCTCCAATTGTTCAACAATATGTCTTAAATACTTTTTTGAACAATATGAAGAAGGCAAGGCAAAAAGGAAGTAGATATATTTGTTAAGTGGCTCAACAGCCACAAAAAAGACATTGGGATATGTAAATATCAATTTGAAAAGCACTTCTGGGTTTGGCTTTGTTAGAGCAGAAACAACATAGGATTTGAAAATCAGGAAGATTTGGGTTGGTATAACTTGCTCATAGATGTGAGAGACCTTTGCCTCCTTGTCCACCAATTTCTTCTTCTGTGATAGGATCAGATGAGGATTACATATAAAGCCATTCATGTCACGTGCAACACCTACTAAAGGCTCAATAAATGCTGCAGACAGCAATCCTTGTTCTTGTTATTTTAATTTAATTTTTGTGATGAGATGAAGATAGTCATATTGTTTTGTGTCCATTTTTACTCATCTTGGAAATGCAGGTAGAAGAAGAAGCGTTTGAATTAGCTATGTTCTTTCTAACTGTGTTCTAGGATTCAATAACCGTGCTGACTCCAGAAAGTGAACTACTAAATTGTGTGGCTAATTTCCATTTTCAAACACACCTAGATGTGGGCAGATAGGTTCCCGATGCTCCAAGATTGAATGGAAATAATAATGATAAGATCTACAAATTTATATACTTCCTACTCTACGTCAAGTTCCAGTCTAGAGCATATTTTATATATGAACTCATGTCTTTACAATAGCCACAAGAAATAGGTACTATTGTTATCCCTATTTTACAGATGAGAAATCTTAGGTACTAATTTAGTACTTTGCTTACGGCCAAATAGCTAGTAAGTAGGAGAGAATCCAAGCAAGGCTAAGTCTACAATCTATGAAATATGTTACTTATAATAGAATTGATTTATCCTGAAGACCAATGTCATAAATGGAGGCATATTTGAAATATTTCTGTTAGCACCAGTTCAGACAGAAATAGAACTAGAAAGAAAATAGAAACAGCATTCATATTATTAGTTCTATGGAAATAAGTACTTTGGATTACCGAACAACTGGTTTTTAAATGAACACTGGAACATAATGTGCTCAGAAAATGGGAAGTGATTCTATATAAATTGCTGCACCATAAATCAGAATGAGTAGTTATTGTAAGAGGGCTGTGAACAAAGACACATCGAAGTTCACAAGAGGAAGCCATTGGTGTTGGCGAGGGGTGTCTAAGAAAGCTTTAGGGGAGCGGTGACCTCAGTCTTCACATACAAAAGCGAAACAATGAGTAACCAAAGTGAAAACAGGCTAAAGGCCTGAAATAAATTTACCACAATCTCCTTGCCTTTTGTTTGTTTAATTTTCATCTTATTCTACTTCGATGGCACTGTGATTTCTACAGGAGCTTTGTGTACTTTCTCTATATGCAGATGTTTCTCTTCCTTAGAGTTGTAAGAAACATCAACCCCTAATGAGGTTAACCGGGAATGAACAGAAGGTGGTATCACCTTCTTTCTACAGGTAGCACAAAATCTCAGCAGACAAGAGTATTTAATCCTACAGAGAAACTTTTCAACTTCACATACTTTATTTACAAAGTTTGTATTTAGAATCAATGGATTAAACACACTTCATTTTATAATTCATCACAGGTTTATGACTAGATAATGATAAATAAATAGTAAGCCAGTAGATCAAATATCTTAGAGAAAGAACATGGGAATTGTTTATTCCGAAGAATTATCTTTTTAAGATTAAGGGCATGCAATTAACCTGCAATGGGTGAAAAAAGCATACTTGGCAGAAGGTTTTAAACCAAAAAGTATTATCATGATAGATGAAATGTTTATAGTAAAGAAAAAGATATGAAGAAAACAAAGCTGGGTGAATAGCAAAAATATTGTTACAAAGTAATGAGAACCGAATGCGTTGCGTGATAACCTGGTAGCGTTTAACACAGATTAAACTTTTTAACATTTGCTAATCTATTTCTCAGTTTATTCCCTCACTAACAAAAAATAGCTTATAGCTTCCAGAATACCAGAATAAAGTGTGTAGGTGAGACAAATGTTGAGCACTAATGATTTCATGGCAGCAGTAGCTAAATTCAACCATTTACCATTTAAATCTATAGTCTTCTGCTGCAATGCAAACATTTTTTTTTTTTTTGGGAGGTTTTTTTTTTTTTTTTTTTTTTCAGTTTTTGGCCAGGGCTGGGTTTGAATCCAGCTCTTCTGGCATATGGGGCTAGCACCCTACTCCTTAGAGCCACAGGGATGCCACCCTGCAATTCAAACTTTTAACCTATTGTTAGATTTCCCTCAAACTCACCCCTAACATCATTTGTGAGTCATAACTGACATATCAATCTCTCACGGACAGATCATTTCCTGGTTGTTCCATTGTTAGGAGTACATTTTAAGAAAAACTATTGATCTTAGTATATTATATAATGGACATAACAGGTGAAGAGAATAAAATCTTTGAATGGTTATTCACCCATCCATCCTAAACAATACTTGCCGTGTACAACTACATATCAGGTATCATATTGAGTACTCAGATCCAAAGAAGGGAAAAAGATTAAAATGTGCTGTGGACTCACCTTGTCTTAGCCACCGTAGGTAGGCGTTTTCAGACAGTCCCTGGCCTCAGGCAGTGTAAAACCTAATTAGAAAAGAGAGACACTCACAATTATTTTTAAAAATATTTAAAGCTCAACGTTGTCTTTAAGGTATATATGGTCATTCCATTTTTTTCCAGGGGGGTTGCGTGACAGGAGAAAAGCCAAGAAGGTTAGAAAATGAAATCAATTTTATGAAATACGATCTTTAATTGAAATAGTGAAATGCCAAAAACTAACATAAAAATCTCTTCTCTTCACAGGGTATAAAATAGTGAATACTGACTACTTCTTAAAATGTTAGATTGAGGCTATCATTTCCGACATAAAATAGCTAAATTGCCTTCTTACAAGCTCTGTTTAATCAAGTTCACTGAATGTTTTGGTTTGTTGCTTCCTAAGTTTCATGATACATTTCTCCCATCCTTTGATCTTTATAGAAGAGACACCCCCTAAGTTGTTAAGGGGATGACTTACAACCCCTGCAGCCAAGCCAAATCAATCCTTATCCATCCTACTCCTTCTGGGACTAATAAGCATAGAAGAATTTCAAATCTTACAAGCATTACATTCATGTAAAATAATCTGTTTATTTTTTAAAAATCCATATATTTAAAAAAATTCTTCAATAAAACCATTCTATAGGATTTACCCTCATGACTCTGGGAGGGCTGTCTAGAAAGTATCCAGCTATGTACATTGAACAACAGTAAAAACAATGTCTGGATACTTTTCAGACAGTCCTCCCAGTTTCTGGTGGTTGTTTTCAGAATCGCTTTCTTCTGGGTAGAGTATTTTCTTTTCAACTCTTTTCAACACGTTCAACTCTTATCCCTCCTTTAGTTCCCAGTGAAGTTGCTATCTTACGAAGAAACACTTTTTTGACATCCTGCCCTCTCCACGTGTCAGTTAGATGAACTTCCTATCAGCGGCATCCCACCCTTGTCCCATGGGCCACACACGGATTACATAAGAACTTTTTGCTCATCTGTTGTGGTATACAGCACAAAACATTATGTATGGTCCTTTTTTGCTTTTTGCTCATCAATTTTCATCAGTATTTAGTGTGTGGCCCAAGACAACTCTTCTTTCAATGTGGCACAAAAAGCCAAAAGGTTGGACACCTCTGTAAGATCCTTCACCCTCTCATATCACCCTGTGTCACAGAATCTGGTAAGTTGGCCCCCCTGATACCATTTCTCTTTTCCTCCTGTTAAACAGCCAACTACATTTTGCAGTTAGATGTGACTGTGTGACTGTATTCCTCACAATGGAATGCAGTGTGAAAACCATCTTGCACACGATTGGATCGGTCATTCTACATTCCCTATTTGCAGGCTAAATCATTGAGGACTTAATTGTATAGAGAAGGGACAATCCATAAGATGGGAAGAACGGGACCCTTCACTCAAGCTGTCAGGATCATGCCCCTCTCTTACTGATAAAGTCCATTCTCACTAGAGCATTGTGCAGATGACCAGGCATCATCTCACCCTGACTAGAAACAGCTACTGGCACTGGAGTTTTATATAAATAAGAATTAAATTTTCAGTTCTTTCAACCATTAAAATGTTGGGTGCTTGTTATCGTGCTTAGCCTACCCAAACTGGGATCTCTTTTCTCTCTCACATCAATTGTATTGACAGAGACCAGTTGAGGTTTTACTGAGGTCTTGACCCCTTCACTGGTACATAATGATGACTTCCCTCTCCATTTTTTAAAATAACCTGAAATTTATATGATAAAAATATGCCATGAAAATTTCCTGGGAACTACCATTATAAATGTAGTTATTCCTTTAGGAAGGGGGCAAGCAAGCCTTTATTTAGCGTGAGTTTCAAAATACCTTTTGGTAAACACCTTAAAGGTAAATTCTGACTTTGCTGAAGAGCTCAAAGCAAGTGGACTCATCAAAACATTTTTGCAGAACTGTTTCTATAGGCCTGCAATTGTGGATTTTGGAGAGACAGAAAGAGCACTACGGAACCTTAGAAGTAATGGGCTCAAAAGCTCCTCGCAGCAGTTACGGTGATTCGGAACGCCCTCTGCACCTTCACTGGGGATTTAATGCCAGTAGAGAGAAAATGACAGGTAATTTTCTTTCCTTTTCAAAACAATAACCAATCACAGAATCCAAGACCTTCTGCTCTTCACATATTACATTGCAAAAGCTTTTGAAGTTTAGACAAAAATAGAGACATCTGACGAGCAATCCCAGTCGCAGTCAGCATGCTCCATGTACTTTCTGCCGTCAGATCTCTTTCTCCCCCTTACTCCCAGCATCAGAAACACTGTGTCCACCGACTCCTTTAGGAAACCACCTGTTGGGGGGCACTTTCCAAAAGGAGTCTTCATAAATCTCACCCATCTGGCTCTTTACTATCGTTCACTTACTGATTAAATTGAGTTTCCTCTGGCAGAATTTAACCTTCAGAGACTCGTTTCCTTTACTTTCAGCTCTGTTTAAGTAAAGAAAATTAGAGGAGATGATCAGATCTCCTTGCTCCGTTTCTGAGAAATGAAGAGAAAGCTTTTGCTGCCAGACACGCAGCTGTCTTTTGACCTGAAGTAGGAAATCCTGGAGCTCTGTTCTGCAACCTGTTTAGACCAGTGCTGAGTGACACCTGTTGGTGCGTGTTACGGTAGCGTTGACAAACCTGCAGTTCACTCACTTCAGTGTTAATACATTTGGGTAAAGGACTTCCCCCTTTAGTGTCAGGCAAGTGTATATTAAATTTACTAGCTGAAACCATTTCTTACACGTTTTCACAGACACACAGATATTTAAGACAACTCTTCTTATCCTCATAAAACTACCTTTCTTTTCAGAGCACTGATATCAGGCTAATGACCTGTCAATCTGAGAGGAGGCACGTGTTTAACATTAGCTGGATGTATAAAAAGAATTAATTCTTCTAAGTCATGCATAACGTTTAGGTCAACTGAGCTTTCTCCATGATGATCACAATGGCAAATTATTAAGAAATTCCAATTTTCTCTTCTGAAGGTCGAGGGAGGCAAATGGAGAATAACTTCTCAAAAGCAAAAGAAAATTAGATTTTTAGCAATTGATTTGGCTCAAGTAGACGGATATCAGTTCAGAAGACCTTCCTGATGTGGGCACAAGACTGAAACAAAAACAACGGAAGAGGGTTGTTTTAATAGTGAGAGTCGTCTTCTTTTTTTTTCATTTCCCCACTTTCTGCCCAAGTTCTGATGATTGTTGGTGGCTGTGCAAACGGTCATAGCCAAAAATCCATAACTTTCAAAGGAAGATCTGTTCATGGTGAGTTAAAATCTGATGAGCAGCTAGAGTTTATAGTATTTACATATGTACGTGGAAAGTTTTGAAGGCTCTAATTCACTTTGTTCATAAACCCAGTTTCCTTCTCAGAAATAACAAACATTTCGGAAACAGCCTTTTTCTTACTGTGCTGAGAATATCATTTTCTATTTTCTCAATGGAATAAACTAGATTATGTCTATCTTACATTCTCCCACCTAAAAATACTTTGGATATTTTAATATAATTTTTCCATCTATGCTATATGCTATTCTTTTTGTAATAACCTGACAATCCCCAGTTTTATTGGTGACTCATGAGTCTATTATCTGAAATACAATAATTAGCACTTCACACCTGAAAATAACATATTTCAACAGAAATACTGAAATTTCTTTTATATGCTAAAATGAGATGCTTTCCACTCCTGTATTTAAATTAGAAAAATGTTTGCGTCCTAGGAAGCTTATTTCTACTGCTCATCCTATTCTAAAGCACCAAAAAATCCTGATCAAAGTAGGTCAAAGCAAGTCAAAGCTGCTTGACCTTCCAAAGTAGTTTAAAGGTACATATTAAAGAGATTTCATTGGAAACTTTCATTCTCTCTCACTTATTAGTTTGTACATATTTTTCATTAGTCATTGTTTTTATATTTCATAGATTCAATTATAAAGCTAGCCTTGGGGTAGCTTAAATGCTGGGTGAGCAAATTTCCAGGAAAAAAAAATATTGAAATGACCAAAGACACCTGTCAAGTCCTTTGTTCAGATGCAGATTATACAGCAGAAAGCAGGATGAATGAATCAGAGAGTAAGTCTTTAAGCTTTGTTTGGCAAATATGTTATAGTCTCTAAGTGACATAGATTGTCTTTCCCCTCTTCTTCTCTCATATCCTCATTCTAATGTCATCCCTTATTTTCTTATAAGTTTCTTGTGAAATAGATTGATTTAGAACACTGTTCAGGGAACAACAACAAGTACTTTAACCCACATCACAACTTATTCAATCCTAACACAATTCATTCATGAGACTTCAAACTTAGAAGAACGCTGAAGATTGTACTAGAGTATAATGTTTTCATAACACATGGCAGAATATATAAACTGGAAAATAAATTGGGGCTCTCACCACTACCAGATGAGAGTTTTTTTGTTTTGTTGTGCTTTTTTTTTTTGTGTGTGTGTGTGTGTATGGGGGTGGATTTTTCTACATGGTTCCATTTAAAGAACAAGTAGGCCTTCTTGGAAGGCTGAGTCCTTCTGTCTCAAAAAAATCTAGAGGCAATTTCAAAATTAAAAAATATTAAAATATAATGCCCTTATAGAAAAGTACATAAACCATGAATCCTACAAAAGCAATCAACAGAGTAAGCACCATCCAATTCAAAATTGAGAAGATTTCCAGCACTCCATACCTCCTGTTTCTTTCCAGTCCCACCTTCTCCTCCTCATCTAAGGTAAACAAATACTGCCTTGATTTCCAACCTTACCAGTTAGGGCTTCCTTGAACACTATATACATGTAATTGTGTATTACATGTTATTTTGTGTCTGGTTGGTAGTAACATTCATATTATAATTTGTCAAATACTGTCTGAATATACAAGTATCACACTTTCTGTGTCCATACTATTGCTGATGAACATTGGGTTATTTTCAGTTTATAACAATTATAATTAATGCCACGTTAAACATATTTGCAGATATTTCTTGGTATGTATATTGTATATAATGAGGAGCAGAACTGCTGTGTTATCTGGTA